CTCTCCTGGGGAGATAAGGCATAAACTGCCTCCTTAGGTGGCATAGCGCCTGGAAACAGGTTAATGACACAGTCATATGCTCTGTGGGGAGGCAATACATCGGATTGAGCCTTGTTAAACACCTCCTGAAGTTCTCGGTATTGTATGGGAACTCCAGGAGTTTGGGGAGTGGTAGTGGGAAGGTCAATAGTATCCAATCTCTTTAGTACTGGTTTTATACATCTCCCCATACACTCTTTACCCCATTCTAATATCTCCCCATTAGCCCAGTCAATATAGGGATTGTGCTTACTCAGCCACGGAAACCCTAATATGAAAGGACATGATGGAGAAGTAATAACCTGAAACGTCATCTCCTCCCTATGGGAGGCCCCAATGGAGATCCTAATAGGGACAGTTTCGTGGGTTATAAGCGGTTGTGTGAGTGGTCTACCATCAATAGCCTCTACAGCTAGCGGCGTAGGTCTCTCCCTGACCGGTATCTCATTACCCTTAATAAACTGGACATCAATAAAATTTCCAGCAGCACCTGAGTCCATTAGGGCACTGCAAGAAAACTTCTTGTTATCAATGGAAATAGATACCTCAAGGAGGAATCTACTTTTGTTTTTGTTAGAGGACAACTCCATCACACCTAAGATCTGTCCCCTTAAGGTTCTTAGGTGCGGAAGTTTTCCGGACGCACTGGACAATTAGTTATCATATGTCCCTTTCTACCGCAATATAGGCATAACCCCTCCCTTCTCCTATACTGTTTTTCAGCCTCTGACAGTCTAGTGACCCCCAACTGCATAGGTTCGGGTTCGGACTGTACAGGGAGGTTAGACAAAACAGGTTTAGAGAATTGAGGTGCTAGGGACATAGCCGTACGTCTGGTCTTGCTTCTGGTGACTTCTCTGAGTCTTAACCTATTATCAATATGCATGACAAACGTAATAAATTCGTTAAGACTCTTAGGTAATTCTTTAGCGGCTATCTCATCTAGTATAGTCTCTGAGAGACCCTTTTTGAATGCTGAGATTAACCCATTGTTAGTCCAGTCTACCTCGGAAGCTAAGGTACGGAATTCAATAGCATAATCCGAGATAGACCGGTTACCTTGTCTGATGTGCATTAGGGCAGTGGAGGCGTCATCCTCTCTACCCAATGGCTCAAACGTGAGCTTGAATTCGGCAAGGAATTCCTGGTAATTATGAGCTATGCTCCGATTACTCTCCCACAACGGATTAGCCCAGGCAAGGGCCTTGCCCTTTAATTGATTCATTAGATAACCAATTCTTGCTCTGTCCGTGGGGAATGACCCTGGTGAGGCCTCAAAATGGTACTCCACCTGATTAAGAAAACCCCTGCATTCCTGGATATTGCCATCAAACTGTAGGGATGGTGATAAGGAGATGCAAGGAGTCCTATTAACAGTGGGTGGAGGTACACAGGGTAGAGGTGCTATAGGAGGAGACGCTGCAGGCTGCAGATGCTCCGTTCTAGCGAGAAGCGTACTTAAAGCCTGAGTGAATTGATCCATGCGGTGATCATTCTCCTCTAATTTCCTCTCGCAAGCAGCTATGTGCTGACACAGTTCTACAGGATCTATGGCCATGTCGTAATGTCAGGATTACTGTTTGATCCAGCACGTAGAACTGTACAGCACGGATGACAAATAAGTAACGTATTACCGGTCCTTAGAATGGCCGGATTTAACGTACAAAGAATAGTCAAAAATACTAGCCGAGGTCAGGGAACACAGAAAGGGACACAGCGATGAGGAAAGCCAGGAGTCAGGATACCAGAATATAGAGAAGTCAATAAACAAAGCCAAAGTCAAAAACCAGGTAGAAAACTATAAACAGGAACGCGCTCTCAGACAACCACAAGGGAAACCACGACAGGGCACTGAGCAGGCTGAGAACTGGGCCTAAATACCCCTCCTTTCTTTCTGATAGGCTGTAACCGGCCTTTGACCCCAAAGTCAGTTACCAGGTTTCATTTGCATAATTGCTACTCAGCATTAACCCTTCTGTGGATTAGGTTGCTGCTCGGCACAACTTTTCCTGTGTGGACAGTAAATGTCATTAATCACTTTTCTCTAAGCGGATGAATACATGACACCAGGTTTCATTTGCACAATTACTGCTCAGCATTAACCCTTCTGTGGATTAGGTTGCTGCTCTGCACAACTTTTCCTGTGTGGACAGTAAATGTCATTAACCACATTTCTATAAGCGGATGAATATGTGACACCAAAGCACGGAAGTCACATGCAGGTGCTGGATTTGGAGTTGGGCCCCAAATGGGGGAAATGCAAGCCTGGTGGCTGAGGTCTACTCAGGCAGTGAGTGGGGCAGACGGCTGCTGCCCTGCTAACCTGCCTACAGGTAACGACCTGGACCTTTAACTCTACATGTCACCTGTGGCGGTTATCTCGGTCAACCCTGGAGCCCTACCATCAGCCACTGTCAGCTATCACAGTCGGAGGATCTGCGTACATTGCAAAATGGCAGAGGAGCATGGAGAAGGGGATCTCCCTCTGGGCTCTTGACGCCTTACACGGGCATCGCTATTCAAGCTACACTCATTCCTTTAGGCCTGACTGGGGGACCTAACAATTGACACAGAGGCCCAGCCCGGAGAGCACACGCGTTCCCCCAAGCCTGACTGCCACACATGGCTTTCCTTACTCAGCTCCCACGGAGCTGCAGACCCTCGACCAGTCACTACACAACGTTGGGCAATGCAACTATTCAGGTTCCGAATCGTGGCTAGCTGACCTAGCCATTGTTGCTGTTTGACTTTCCAGTAATGGGCGTCTGCCTGATAGTGGAGACTGTGGTTGGAGTGGGGGTTAGGTGCTCTCTGTCTGGGGATGCCCCTCCATGGGTTAAGCATCCAGTCAATCAAGTGGTAATTCTCCCTGGACTGGTTATATATGTGTGGGTGCTCTGGGGTCTTTTATCGCTCTGGCATGTTTTTCCTCGTTTATTTTCTTTCTAACAGTTCTGTGCTTTTTGCCATTCAATTTAGCTTGTTAGGAGTTTCTTCCAAAAAAATAAAAATAAATGTGTGGCTTTTATGACACGCTATCTGATTGTTACTGTCAAACATACTCATACAAATTTGTCTCAACCATCCTGTATACTGCATGCACATCAAAAATAAAGATTTTTTTTAAAGTGTATATTAATATTAATTATATATATGAAATAAAAATAATAAATTAAAAAATATATTTTTTTTAAATGTTTTTGATATTAATATACATATATATTTAAATACATTTAGAGTGACGTTATAAATACATATATCCCCTTAACGACCGTGGATGTACTAGGTACGATCGACAAAAAACGGTCATTAAGCAAATAGGAGCCCTGGACTTGCATGGACTGCTGATCCGCGGCAATCAAGGACGGGGGAGGTTGGACGGGACTGCCCCCCTGCAGCAGCTCTGGCCATCGTGGCCCTCCAATTTATTAACTTAACTTTTTTATTTTTAGACTTTTTTTTAAAAAAAAACTTTTTTTTACCAGCAGGGGGACTGCCTGTCAGTTCAGGCAGTCCCCCTGCAGTCAATACTATAGATGTCTATTGCGGCCATGTGACCGCTCTTTCAGAGCCATCACATGGCCCACATGGTCCTATTTAGCCGAGGGGGGACTGTCTGGGCTGTCAGACAATCCACCCAGTGGAGAAAGACTGATCGCCAGCGGGAGAATGGCCGTGATCGGGTAAGTGAATTTGAATGGAGGGACAGGGAGGGAAGGAGGGAAGGGGTGAGGTGTGGTAGATATTTATTAAAAAAATTTTTTTTAAATATTATTTTATTCTTCACTGAGTGCCTCGACCCCTCGAGGCACTAAGCACACAGGCAGAGCATTGGAAGCCTGCCTGATGGCTTCTGATTCTCTGCCTCACTGCCGTGCGCAACATGAAGCAACCTGCAAGTGACCGCTCCAGACGAGTGATCGCTCCGGACGAGCGATCACCCGGCAGCCCGGGAATGTGGGGGGTATTGCAGGATGCCTCCACATCGAGGCATCGCCGTAATACCCTTACAGCAGCTGGAAGCGATCATGATCACTTCCAGCGCTCAAATGTACCGCGGACATTAATGACTGTTTTTTTTTCTGATGTAGCCTGTACGTCAGCGGTCACTAAGGGGATAAAAAAAAGTTTGCAAAAGCTGCAGTTCTCTTGTCTGCAGGTTTTGCAAGCCTTCCCCTTCCAGCCCCACCCAGACTTTCTGTGGCTGTCCAATCACAGCCTTCCCAAAGCAGCTCAATGAGAAGTCTTTGCAAGGCAGGTGCTCTGGGCAATTGCTGCCTCTTGAGGTAAACCAGGAAGTAACAGGACTGGTTCTCTGCTTGACAGCTTGACAGCCAAGGGTGTAACAAGGTTCATTTATAAAAGTACAAATTTTTATTGAAATCTGCACTTTTTGAAAAATGAAAAAGAGGGAACACTCTTCACACATAAAGCACTTCAGCGATCTAAAATGCTTTAGGGGTCTGGAGTGTCTCTTTAAGGTAATTTTAACTCCAATTTATACTTTATGCTGATGCAATTACCAGCAAAAGTAGAGATTACTTTGTAACTGTTACAGTCTATTTGATCTTGGAAGGCTGACGAGCCAAGCAGACCTCCCAGAATTTGAAACTGTGATCTTCGGGATAGGCACAGATCTACACAGCAGGAGCAGAAAAATACATTGATGATCCTCTGGAAGGCGTATTGTCAAGATGAAATTAGTAAGATGATGTAAGGGATATATTTCTGGAACATAAAGCATTGCCATGAATTAGCTGTTTATTTACACAGGGAATGCATACGTAAACATAGGAACACATCACAAAATGTAACTAATTATAATTATTAATTAGGGTTACACAATAAATCCAGTCCAAGAGATATCAATAATCTATTTTGCTAATTGTTCTATGCATTATTAGTCATCCTTCATGTTGGGGATCATGAACTCACTAATACATTCCATTATTTTCCCGCAGATTTTTTATAAAGAACTCAAAGATCCTATGTGCCACCCCAGGTTTGAAGTGGGTGAAAAACGCAATGAAGAAATTAGACCAAATGCAAAAGAAAAAAGGAAAGGTGGATAAGGTGAAAGGAGGCAAGAAGCCACATGGCAACTCCAAAGACTCGGCAGCTTCTAACAAATCAAGCAAAGGTACGGTCCGAATAGAACATAGTCCGTTGCTGTTGATGGATCTACTTTTCAAACTTTTTTCCATTCAAACTTTTCACAACATTCACTACCTGTCAATAGAGCGCTGCAGTAATTACAATTGCAAGGTTACGGGGCTTGGGACTGTAGCCAGACCACTTCAATGGGCTGAAGTGGTGTGGGTGCCTAAAGTGTCCCTTTTAGGTCTACTGTGTATCTTCACCCACCAAGCAGGAGAGAGCTTTGACGATGTAGATATTATTAAGTCGATTACCATTTTTTACAGAGCTGCGTCAATCCAACCACAATCCCAGACTGTTGGTACTTGCTCCAAGTTTGAGGCAGCCCTGTCAGTTCAGCCACGGTTAATTTCAATACAGGGTCATTTTTATTCAGACCCTGAACTAACCTAAAATTAAACGTCACGCCTTTTTATATTTGTTTATTGGCTGACTGTTTTTTGACAGTGCGCATGCACATATTGACACAAACCTCATGCAAGGGCCTGACCCTACAGAAACCTCTGTCATTTTAGGTCCAGAGCCCTTTCATGGTTTCTGTTTTCTGATAGCTGGTAAACCCGTTATACTGTTTCTTGTTACTGATCCAGCTTGGCTTGATCCTGACATTGCAACGTCTTGTATACCTGTCCCCGATAATTTCCTGTCTTCAAGATTCCTGATTCCATGTGCTAAGGACCTACTAAATAGCTTTTTTTGTATTTTGTACTTTTTATAATTTTAATATAATATAGTAAGTTTGCAATATGGTAAATTGCTTGGCATAACCTCCCCCAACCAGTATTTGTAATCACCAATTATGGTTTTTATACCAGTTTCTTAGCTATCTTACATTAGTTGCTGTGATTTTGTTTTCATTTTTATGAATGAAACTTTAGGTTTTATTTTTTAATATGGCCAAAATTCTGTCTGCCTATATTTTACATTTTTTGTATTTTTGGAATTAATGGTTTAGAATGTGCGCAGGACTGTAAGCTCGTTTAACCCCTTAAGGACACATAACATGTGTGACATGTCATGATTCCCTTTTATTCCAGAAGTTTGGTCCTTAAGGGGTTAAGCAGGGCCCTCTTCAACCTATTATCCCTGTAGGTTTTTGTAATTGTCTCATTTATTGTTAAATCTCCCCCTCTGATAATATTGTAAAGTGCTACGGAATGTGTTGGCGCTATATAAATACCAGTAATAAAAATAATAATAATAAGTCTTCTATTAATATGCCCCGTTTTTCTTTTTCCCAGCAGCTCTGTAAGAAAAAAAACGGTTCTTTGTTCTTCACCATTCCTCGTTATTCGATTTGGCACGAACGTCCATCTGTGAAGAATTCACTCAGATGCCAAAGGTTACACAAAATATCCCAATCTCTCATCATTTGGGATTAATCTGATATAATGGTTTCATTTTATCTCTACGTCTTTTCTAATGGACCTCTCCTCCCTGCTGGGGTTGACTCCTTCATGTCTGCAGTATTTGAAAAACATTAGCACAGAATAGTCGATGGCAGATAGGAACCCATCGGATTATGTAGCCTGCCTATTCTGATTTCTTTTGCTTAATGTATGCACTCCACCAAAATACATTTTTTGCTAAGTAGATAAATATCTCTGTAGAAAAAATAATCCTTCTTTATAGGTAAATGCAACTGCGGTTTGATCAGAGGCCATATATATACATTATATTTGCAGGAATTTACTGATGTTTTGTCTATTGTGAGCTATCTAACATTTACTGCAGATTTTAAATGCAAAGCAAAACAATGATTATATGAATTGAAGATTTCTTTGTCATGCACCTATTTAGTATTATTACTCCTTTGTCTGCTGGTACTTAAAAAAAATGGTAATGGTGATATTTTTACGTTTTATGTAAATTTCTTAATTATCCACGATAATTTAAAGGGACAGTATAGTCACCAAAACCAAAAAAAAAACCCTGTCCATGCAGCCTTAGCCACACCCCTTGCAAGGTCTAGCAAGCTATTAACAGAGCAGTAGATAGGAAATTCTAAATTAAACAGACTGTGCAATAAAAGGAGTGTACACATTGGAACTCTCTTTACAGGAAGTGTTTAGGAAGGCTGTGCAAGTCGCATGCAGGGAGGTGGGACTAGGGCTGTATAAACAAAGTGATGTAACTCCTAAATTGAGCAATGAGACTGCCGGGGATAATCTATACAAACTGCTTCATTAAGCTAAAGTTGTTTTGTTGACTATGGTGTCCCTTTAAGAATATCTTCTATGCTATGTATCCTTAGTGTAAAGGACTGTGATTAGTGTAATAACAATAAGCTAACAAACAATATATAAAGTAACAAGAGAAGAAAAACACAAGAAAAAACAAATAGCTCCCATTTAAATGTAGGGTACAAAAAAAGAAAATATACCAGATACAGGGATTCTCTTCCTTTACCAACGTGTTTCTCCTATTCCATGATTGTAATTATCTGACCCTGCTCACGGCAATGTGATAAAATGATCACGTCTTTAGTCTCTTGCAATCAATGAAAAGCTCAGTAAAAAGTGTTTAAATACAAATCTGTTTATAAACAGTAGATTGTTTCGATATTAGAACAAGATTAAGATTAACATATGTTTATAAATTAATATGCATTCAAACTGACACTAAATCAGCTATGAAGCCAGTAACAGGCCAGTAACGGACATTGCACAGTGCTATAAGCTAATATAAAATTAACAAATCAGAAATATTCCTTTAAGATCAACTAATATCGGACAGAAGCAGCATTTATTAAGACAAAATATCAGAAATGCTAAATATTTGTAAGCTAGAGAATTTCCCTAATTTAACGAATTAATTAATTAATGTTGGCTACAATATGTCTATTTTTTCATTTTTTATTTCACTGTTATTCCAGTCTGGACAGATTTATATTTTCTGAAAGGACTTCAGATTGTATTAAGAGGATTTTAGGAGGCACTCTTGGATCACCATAACCACTACAGCTCATTGTAGTAGTAGTAGTAGTAGTGGCTATATGGTGAGTCTATGGTTTCTCGCAGCCTCTCTCTGCTGTTCAGGTTCCCTCCTGGAATTTCCATGTGTTTAGATTGTAAGCTCAGTTTGAGCAGGGCTCTCTTCTCCTACACTTCCTCTGTGTCAAACATGTTTTGTTAGAATTTACTGTTACCTTTTGTACAGCGCTACACAATATGTTGGCACTATATAAATAATTGTAATCAATGAGC